GCTCCTTTCCAAACAGTTATGACACAAGGTATGAATCCTTTTAAAACCCCTGCAAAATACTGACAAATATATTTTGGAAAACTGCATTTATCTCACAATGTGCCAGTTAAACAATCTTTATTATTTCATTGATATTGGTTCAAAATACTGCTGAAGTAAACTGCCTTATCACCTGTTTACATAATTCAGGACCCGGAAAGAAGACGTTCCTCAGTAAGGGGGCAGGACCAGAGGTACTTTTTGACAATCTGAAAACATTTCCTCGCTTACAGAAAGCTGGAAAATATCCTGACAGTCACACTTGAATGACTTGTTTGTACTCACTAAGTTCTTTACCAGAAGCCTATGTAACCCAGAAGGAGGTTCATGGCTGTCCTAATGGAGGGCCGGGTCTGCTCCACAGGGAGGTTCATGGCCGTCCTAATGCAGGGCCGGGTCTGCTCCACAGGGAGGTTCATGGTCGCCCTAAGGCAGGGCCGGGTCTGCTCCACAGGAAGGTTCATGGCCGTCCTGATGCAGGGCCGGGTCTGCTCCACAGGAAGGTTCATGGCCGTCCTAATGCAGGGCCGGGTCTGCTCCACAGGGAGGTTCATGGCCGTCCTAATGCAGGGCCGGGTCTGCTCCACAGGGAGGTTAATGGCCGTCCTGATGCAGGGCCGGGTCTGCTCCACAGGGAGGTCGATGGCCGTCCTAATGCAGGGCCGGGTCTGCTCCACAGGGAGGTTCATGGCCGTCCTGATGCAGGGCCGGGTCTGCTCCACAGGGAGGTTCATGGCCGTCCTAATGCAGGGCCGGGTCTGCTCCACAGGAAGGTTCATGGCCGTCCTCATGCAGGGCCGGGTCTGCTCCACAGAGAGGTTCATGGCCGTCCTCATGCAGGGCCGGGTCTGCTCCACAGGAAGCTTCATGGCCGTCCTAATGCAGGGCCGGGTCTGCTCCACAGGGAGGTTCATGGCCGTCCTAATGCAGGGCCGGGTCTGCTCCACAGGAAGGTTCATGGCCGTCCTAATGCAGGGCCGGGTCTGCTCCACAGAGAGGTTCATGGCCGTCCTAATGCAGGGCCGGGTCTGCTCCACAGGAAGCTTCATGGCCGTCCTAATGCAGGGCCGGGTCTGCTCCACAGGGAGGTTCATGGTCGTCCTAATGCAGGGCCGGGTCTGCTCCACAGGAAGCTTCATGGCCGTCCTAATGCAGGGCCGGGTCTGCTCCACAGAGAGGTACATGGCCGTCCTAATGCAGGGCCGGGTCTGCTCCACAGGAAGGTTCATGGTCGTCCTAATGCAGGGCCGGGTCTGCTCCACAGGAAGCTTCATGGCCGTCCTAATGCAGGGCCGGGTCTGCTCCACAGGGAGGTTCATGGTCGTCCTAATGCAGGGCCGGGTCTGCTCCACAGGAAGCTTCATGGCCGTCCTAATGCAGGGCCGGGTCTGCTCCACAGGGAGGTTCATGGTCGCCCTAAGGCAGGGCCGGGTCTGCTCCACAGAGAGGTTCATGGTCGCCCTAAGGCAGGGCCGGGTCTGCTCCACTGCTCCACAGAGAGGTTCATGGCCGTCCTGATGCAGGGCCGGATCTTCTCCACAGGAAGGTTCATGGCCGCCCTATTGAGTGAAGGGCTGTGTCTGCTCCACAGGGAGGTTCATGGCCGTCCAAATGCAGGGCCGGGTCTTCTCCACAGGGAGGTTTATGGCCGTCCTATTGAGTGAAGGGCCGTGTCTGATCCACAGGGAGGTTCATGGCTGTCCTGATGTCCACTGATGTTGTGGGTACTCGGGGTAGAATAGGCCCCCACTGGTTGTGGGTGCCCGGGGTAGAATAGGCGTCCACTGATGTTGTGGGTACTCGGGGTAGAATAGGCCCCCACTGGTTGTGGGTACACGGGGTAGAATAGGCCCCCACTGGTTGTGGGTACACGGGGTAGAATAGGCCCCCACTGGTTGTGGGTGCCCGGGGTAGAATAGGCGTCCACTGATGTTGTGGGTACTCGGGGTAGAATAGGCCCCCACTGGTTGTGGGTGCTCGGGGTAGAATAGGCGTCCACTGGTTGTGGGTGCCCGGGGTAGAATAGGCCCCCACTGGTTGTGGGTACTCGGGGTAGAATAGGCCCCCACTGGTTGTGGGTGCTCGGGGTAGAATAGGCGTCCACTGGTTGTGGGTGCCCGGGGTAGAATAGGCCCCCACTGGTTGTGGGTACTCGGGGTAGAATAGGCCCCCACTGGTTGTGGGTGCCCGGGGTAGAATAGGCCCCCACTGGTTGTGGGCACACGGGGTAGAATAGGCCCCCACTGGTTGTGGGTACTCGGGGTAGAATAGGCGCCCACTGGTGTTGTGTGTCCTCGGGGTAGAATAGGCGCCCACCGGTTGTGGGTACTAGGGGTAGAATAGGCGTCCACTGGTGTTGTGTGTCCTCGGGGTAGAATAGGCGCCCACCGGTTGTGGGTACTCGGGGTAGAATAGGCACCCACTGGTTGTGGGTACTAGGGGTAGAATAGGCGTCCACTGGTGTTGTGTGTCCTCGGGGTAGAATAGGCGCCAACTGATTGTCAGAGGCCCTTGAATTCGAACGGCTGACTTTCATAAGTCCCTGATAATGTAATTGTAAAAATGTTCATATTCACAAAAATATATTATCACCTGAAGTGAATTTAAAAATATTGTACACGTATCTATGAAAAAGAACTTTGTGCACATAAATCTTAGATAAATGGAAAGGTTAACTGCTCAGATGCGTCATTAAATGGTTGATAACAGAAATGCATATTATTAATTATTGAAAGAGAAACGTACACTATCTATATGGCTTTTTCTACACTTCGATTACATGCATGTACATTTACCATGCTACACGTGAAGATCCGAAGTAGCGTAGAACTTCAGCAACTCATACTTGCTGTTGAAGGCGACTATGCTTGTCGTGAGAGGTGACTAACGGGATCGGGTGGTCAGGCTCGCTGACTTGGTTGATGCATGTATCCCAATAGCGTGGATCTATGCTCATGATGCCAATCACCGGATTGTCTGGTCCAGACTCGAATATTTACAGACCGCCGTCATACAGCTGGAATATTGCTGAGTGTGGCGTTAAACAACAAACAGCATCTACCATGCGTGATTTGGACAGTATTTATTGTTAATATATCCACAGATTCCTGATAAACACACCTGCCTGTTAATTAAAGTTTAGATTAAAGTAAAAGGGGTAATTGCCGGGCCTCAATTTTGAAAACTTTTTGCCACCTATGGACAATACTTGGCACTTGTAGAATGTTAGGGGAGGCGAGGCAGCCTTGTGGTTAAAGCGTTCGCTCGTAACGCCGAAAGCCCGGGTTCGATTTCTTCACATGGGTACAATGTGTGAAGCTCATTTCTGGTGTCCCCTTCCGTGATATTGCTGGAACATTGCTGAAAGCGGTGTCAAACCATACCTACTCAATACACTTTTTCGACAGGCCCAGCCATGCTTTAGACTTGCACAAGTCTCTAAGGCAAGCGAGTTAAAGCATACCCACTCACTCATTCCATGTCAAGGCAGAACAGACCAGCTAGACTTAAGCTTAGTCTTTTGATACTTTTGGCGGAAACAAAGAAGTACATTTAAATTTAAAAGGGGCCCCGGTGAGATGGGCTATTCAGAAAATGTGGAGAATTTAGACTGGCTTGCCTTGGGGCTATAATTACAGTAGAAGCGCTGGGCGAAATAGGAGAAAATAGTATCGTTCAAGGACTATGAGACCGACTACTGGCCAACAACAGATACTACTGTTGGACAACATGTTACAGTAACTTCTGGAATTTTATTTTGGGAACGATTGGAAAATAATCCTGTGACATTGATTTTTAGGCAAAGAAATGTCGTCACGACTCAGTCAGCTTGGCTGTCATAGGCTATGGTCCCATGCGTTCCCAATCAAGAGAGAACCGTCAAGTGACAACCTACTTTGTGTGTTTGTTTGTTGTTTAACGCCACAATATTTCAACTACATGACGGAGGTCTGTAGATAATCGAGTTGGACCAGACAATCCAGTTATCGCTCTACGCAATTGGGATTCGATGACGTGCATCAACCAAGTCAGCGAGCCACCCTGACCACCCGATCCCGTTAGTCGCCCCTTAAGGCAAGCAGAGTCGTCTCTTACAAAAAGCATGGGCAGCTGAAGACCTATTCTGACCTGGATCTTCACGGGTCTCAATACATATTCCATGCTTGGTATTCAGATATTTTTTGTCATCTTTGTTGCTACGGTAGGTAGACATAACATCGCAACCATTTCAAGTGAGGTAGTAAATGATGCGTTGTCTTGCAGGCCCAAATACAAATGGGTTGTCTTGAATTTGTATCTAAGACTATGAAAAATTAATTTGATACAGAAATGCGTGCATTCTGAAACGACTTTCATTAAATTAATATTAGGTGAGGTGGGCGGAGGCCCATTTATGTAACAGTTGCGTCTTTCTAAAAAAAAAAAAAAAAAAAAAAATATTAGGTGAGGTGAGGTGAAATGGGGTTTAACGTCGCGTCCAAGATTATAGCACTCATATAGCGACGTGCATGTACGTGTGTGTGTTTGTGTGGCTGCTTGTACCAGTCCGGACTGATGCCGATTTATAGTGCTAGCTCACTGAGATACCATGCCGCAGTTTAACATGAACACCCCACTCAGACACAGTATACTGACTCCGAGCCGACCAGTCCTTGTTTTAGCCCCTTAATGCCGAGCGCCAGACAGGGTAACAACAAGTACCATCTTTTAACGTCTTTTGGTATGACGCGTTCGGGGATCGAACCCCGGACCTTCCGCTCTCCGGGCGGACGCTCTACCACTAGACCACGGAGGCGGTCTTAAATTAATATGAAGGCGTGTTCAAGCATGTCCTCGTGTTGAATAATGCAAGGATCTTCGTAATTGGGATACGATGCAGGCATCAACCAAGTCAATGATGCACCCCAGAAACCTATGATTGTGGGTTCGAATCCCGGTTCGCCCCGATGATGTTTCTACACTCTAAATCTATGTGTTCTAATATAGAACTCTGGACGCGTCCATACGTTCTGCCACAGAATACGAATGTTCTTATTCGGGGAGCAAGTGTTCTATTGCTGAACGCCTGTGATCTTTTGTAGAACGCGTGTGTTCTCTCCTGGGAGAAGTCCATGCACATTAGCAGAGATAATGTACTGACTATTGTTAGACAAATTTAAATTCGACCATATATTTGTGTTTTCGGAATATTTATTTTTGAGAAGAAGAGAGGCTGGTAGATTGGTAAGTCAAACAGAAAATGTGTCATATTTTGAGTTTGATGAATGATAAATAGTTTATAAACATGGCATACCTTGTGTTCATAATAACTCATATGTAGCCTGACTAAATACAACAAGAAACATTACTGAAATACAACTCATTGCTAATACATGGAAATAACTTACTTGCATTATGGGACATTTACGTGTATCAGAACACTGGCATTCTGATGGCTAATTTTACCTGGATATTTTATGGGGGCTATGGAACATATACGGTCTATTTGCTGAACACATGCGTTCTCTCCTAGAACGCATGTGTTCTGCTATGTTCTATAGTGATAAGCAGCACACTAATGTTACAGGGGAGAACACGTGTTCCATTAATAGAACATAGGGGTTCTATTTATCTAACTAGCATTCGAAGCTGCCCATGTCCTGTGAACCACATCCGTTATGTGAGAAACTGACGTGACGTAGCATGTATTTGGTGCTACAATTTCCTATCATCTGAGGGGTATCTGTGGTAAGTATCCATCTAGGAATAATTTTGTTTGATATTTAATCCTTACCTAAAATTGTGTAATATTTCGGCGATATATTCATATGCTGATTGCATGCGAAGTAAAACCGGCCCCTTACGAAACTTATAGCAGACGACATATTCCCCGCCATTTTGACCGTCATTTCTGCCATTGTTCCACAAGCATTATTTGCAAATTGTGAGATGAAATCCCAATCCAAACTGCACTTGTGACATTTTGAAAGTTTCCGTTTATTTGAATGATGTTCAAATAAAATGAATATATATTTCAGGTTCTATATGAATCGCCTGAAAGTACGAAGCGGGCAACAAATCTCATGCAACAAATCTCTGAAGATCTAAATTTGGGATCCGAGGGCATGATCAGCATGCATCGACAATGCATCGAATCAGCAGAGAGTAGGGTAAGTATGTAATGAACAAAAAGAATTAAACCTTCACAGGACATGTTTTGGGCTATTTTATGTGAAATATTTTAAAAGAGTCTTGTTGTTTCTATTACAGGTTGCATTGCAGATAATCAGTACCATCCTTGGAAATTATTGCACACAGCACACGTCTACGCAAAGGAGGAAAGGAAACAAGGTTTTTCAGATCAAATAAGAAGGTACTTGTGTATATTTTGGTCTAGTCTTTATCCAAGTAAGTGATAACTTTGTCAAATAACATTTTGGGCAAAACACTTTGCAACCTATAAATAATGAAACAAATGTCACGGTAATCTTGCGTTTACTAACGAACATTTGTTAGAATAATGTCTTATGTAATATGTACGAGTTTGATAACTATATGACTATGACCAAATAAATGTTTGGTGTTGTAGGATGTTGCGGAGTCGTATTTGACATGAAGTTTCCTGAAGCATGCGATGGTCATGTCGCTGTTACGAACAACGTCCTTGGGGATATTTACCCACAAGAAACATCTGCGAAGTACTTGCGCTTCGTGAAAGACTTGACACTTAAGTTATCTTAAGTATGGAAGTATGCTTCACTTTGCTACATGACAGTTTGTAATGTTTCATGAAGAACTCTGACTAACATATTTAAGTGACTTGAATATCCATGATCATGACAAATAAATGTAATAAAGAATTCATGGTTGCAGTTCAGAATTTCGTCCGTGTGATTTTATGCCAGAGAATATGTATGGGTGTATGGTTCATATTCCTACGCCTTGAAAAAACATCGGGTAAATTGTATTCGACAACACACGATGAGTTGTCATTTCAGTACTGTGGAAGTACGTGTCCGAGAACATGTAGTGTTCTGAATCTCGGTCCAGAACACTTTACAGGCGTTCTAAAAGTGTTACATCGTCAGAACACGTTGAAGCGTTCTAAATATGTTTGTAGAACACTCCTGTTCTAGGTCGAGAACATCAACGTTCAGAATATTTTCAGAACACTTGGACGCGTTCTAAAAGTGTTACATCCATGTGTTCTGTCTAGTGTTCAGAAGTAGAACACTTGGGTTTAGAGTGTAGGCTTGTCAGCACAATACCCGTGCTCTTGGGTTTCACCGAAGTGGTAAACGTCTGAGACCTGCATCACTTCGGGCTTTCCTCCCACATTAAGCTGACACGCCGTGATGTAACTGGAATAATGTTCAAAGCGGCGTTAAACCAAACTCACTCTACTCTCCTGTGTCACGCATGCGCATGGCAGCTGTACATTCATAACACAGACGTGAAGAAGCAACCACATACATAGTGTACGTTTCCTCTTTCTATATTTAATAACATGCATATCTGTTATCAACTATTTTTTGATGTCTCTAAGTAGTTAACCTTTGCATTCATCTAAACTTTATGTGCACAAAGTTACCTTTTTTATAACACTCTGCTTCGGTTAAATATAATGCAGTTAAGAAGTGGGATGATTGGTTGGTTGGTTTGTTGTTCAACGCCGCACTCAGCAATATTCCAGCCATATGACGGCGGTCTGTAAATAATCGAGTCTGGACCAGACAATCCAGTGATTAATATCATGAGCATCGATCCACGCACTTGGGATCGATGACATGCATCAACCAAGTCAGCGAGTCTGACCACCCTTTTCCGTTAGTCGCCTTTTACGACAAGCATAGTTGCCTTTTACGGCAAGCATGGGTTGCTGAAGACCTATTCTACCCGGAATCTTCACGGGTCTTAAGGCAAGCATGGGTTGCTGACGACCTTTTCTACCCCGGATCTTCACGGGTCAGAAGTGGAATGAAGTCATAAGTAAATAGCAAAATGCTATTTACATCTTAAGCAATATTATACATATATTTTATGAACTTATTCCCATGTATATCTATATATGTAGGTCAGACCGCGATTGCAATTAGCAGGTGTCCTCACGCGTTTAATTATTTGTCCGCAATATTTTAATCTTTCCCATTTACTTTCTTGTTGGATAGGCAGGATAGCAAGAACACTGATGTAAATAGTTCTTCACGACAATGAATGGAAATGTTTGTTTCACGGCTCGACGTCAGCTCACTTCTTGAGGACATGGAGATGAAGAGAGCCCTCACGTCGGCTGTCTGGTCGCTCGTGAAAGATATTTTACGAGTGCTTCACACACCCGACAGCATTTGAGTGCAGACCCATAAACCAATGTCATAGGGATATTAATGGCGCTTCACTTTATAGACCGTCAAACATCATCTTGAAACCCTGTTTGTCACAATTATTTTCTCTTTGTGAAACAAGAAAGAAATGCTCTGGGCGTTTCTCTTTTTGATTTGCGTTTTTAAAGAAACAATGCACATTAGGAATAATATCATGACATGTTACACAAGATTTCTTGCCTACAGCGATACTGTTGATTGGTTGGTTTGGTGTTTAACGCCACACATAGCAATATTTCAGCTAAATGATGTCAATCTCTAAATAATCAAGTCTGGACCAGACAATCCAGTGATTAACATTATGAGCATCGATCCAGGCAATTGGGTAAGTGAGCCTGACCACCCAATACTGTTGGTACAACCCGAGGTGTATAGACCTGGGGTCGTGCTTGCAGTAAGCATGTTTCACACACATTATGTCATTGCTGTGAGGTTAAATCGCCTGTTCTTAACCCCCACGATGGAGTCAGGTCGACAGTCACAAAATTACATGAAAACAAAGAAGAAAAGATTATTATTCGGACATGAAATATTTCAAAACTTGTATTTCTAGTTAGGTCAATTATTATTATTGGATAATAATCAACTTACATCGTGTGATTGTGTGTTTGATAGAGACTGATTGTGAAAAACGGGTGCCAAATTTCAATTAACAATACACACATTACTTGATCAAACCACCAAAACAAACAAACAAACAAACAAAATATTCTAAATTTGTGTACCATTTTATACCATTTCAACATTGCACGTGACATACTATAAACATTAAAATAATGAATGAAATAACACTAAGATTTAAAGTCATGAATAATACAGAGGTCAATTGTGGAGCTACCTTGGTCACATCATGGACAGGAGAGGATTATAACACAGAAAATAACTATATTATCATTGTTATGTCATCAAATCTGAGTTCTTCCTGGTACCATCTTTAGAATTTTTAACTCTAATACATAATGACAAATTACTTAAGAGGTTTTGTTCAGCTGAGCTTAAAATAGTACCGAGCAGTAGTGGGGTAGTATTCATCATTGTACTGGGCAGTACTGGGGTAGTATTCATCATTGTACTGGGCAGTACTGGGGGAGTATTCATCATTGTACTGGACAGTTCTGGGGAAGTATTCATCATTGTACTGGCAAGTACTGGGGTAGTATTCACCATTGTACTGGGCAGTACTGGGGAAGTATTATCATTGTACTGGGCAGTACTGGGGAAGTATTCATCATTGTACTGGGCATTACTGGGGAAGTATTCATCATTGTACTGGGCAGTACTGGGGAAGTATTATCATTGTACTGGACAGTACTTGGGTAGTATTCATCATTGTACTGGCAAGTACTGGGGTAGTATTCACCATTGTACTGGCAAGTACTGGGGTAGTATTCACCATTGTACTGGCAAGTACTGGGGTAGTATTCACCATTGTACTGGGCATTACTGGGGAAGTATTATCATTGTACTGGGCAGAACTGGGGTAGTATTCATCATTGTACTGGACAGTACTGGGGTAGTATTCACCATTGTACCGGGCAGTACTGGGGAAGTATTATCATTGTACTGGGCAGTACTGGGGAATTATTATCATTGTACTGGGCAGTACTGGGGAAGTATTATCATTGTACTGGGCAGTACTGGGGAAGTATTCATCATTGTACTGGGCAGTCCTGGGGTAGTATTCATCATTGTACCGGGCAGTACTGGGGTAGTATTCTTCATTGTACTGGGCAGTACTGGGGGCAGTACTGGGATGGTATTCAGAAAATGATAAAAGAGGTGTGGCATACAATTATAGTCGTGTCATGGCCCATCTGTAAAAAAATCTTTATTGTGTCTAAGGCCACATGCATACAGGACATAACATGACATCACATATGTTTTGTTATGTAAATCAGAAAATGAATATCACAAATGTTGCAACAAGTATAACTTCAAAGCATAAAATATAACTTTAGATACATTTCCTGAGGTGGATGGAATCTGATATTCATAAGATTTACAAAATGTTCTAAGGATGTATTATTATAAAGTCAATGGTGAATAACTCATTTCCTTAAAAACCAAAAGCCATACATACAAATAAATGAAACTCATTTTTCAACATCTAACTGGCATTGATGTGGGTCAACATAAGCAATCATTATCAATGTTGTCATAATTGACACACTTCCTGCCATCAGGGCAGTCTGACACATCCTGCCATCAGGACACAGCCTGACACACATCCTGCCATCAGGACACAGTCTGACACATCCTGCCATCAGGACACAGCCTGACACACATCCTGCCATCAGGACACAGCCTGACACATCCTGCCATCAGGACAGTCTGACACATCCTGCCATCAGGACACAGCCTGACTCATATCCTGCCATCAGGACACAGCCTGACACACATCCTGCCATCAGGTCACAGTCTGACACACATCCTGCCATCAGGTCACAGTCTGACACACACATCCTGCCATCAGGTCACAGTCTGACACACACATCCTGCCATCAGGACACAGCCTGACACACACATCCTGCCATCAAGTCACAGTCTGACACACGCATCCTGCCATCAGGACACAGCCTGACACACACATCTTGTCACCAGGACACGGTCTGACACACACATCCTGCCATCAGGACATTCTGACACACCCATCCTGCCATCAGGACACAACCTGACACACCCATCCTGCTGCTTTAACCTGTCTATACAAGGACACAAACTGTGCAGCCCTCGTCGTACTCGGGGCAACCAACATAGTGGCAAAGTCTGTCTTGTTCCGGAGGGCTGGCACAAGATGGTGGAGTTTCAAGTTGTGGAGAAACCGAAGGACAAAATCAAAACAGTTGTTGATGTGTTCATGATAGCTGCAACACAAGGAGAGTGAGAGGGTAAACACATGGCATTGTGTTTGTTGCATCATGTAAGGAACACATTCAGGATCAAACAATCCTGACATCAGGACACAGCCTGATTCTAACAACAAGTAAGGTAACCAAGCGACTTAGTAAAGAGTCATACATTTGCAATGATAAACACTTGTCAAGAATATGTCAACTAGTTATATATATCGAAACCACCACTACACCTAAGTTTGGTGAAGAAATATCAAAGTCAAGTCCACCTACCTGTGAGACCCCAACCCTAGAAGCATCCCTCCACCTACCTGTGAGACCCCACCCCCAGAAGCATCCCTCCACCCACCTGTGAGACCCCACCCCAGAAGCATCCCTCCACCTACCTGTGAGACCCCATCCCCAGAAGCATCACACCACCCACCTGTGAGACCCCCCCCCCCCCACAGAAGCATCCCTCCACCTACCTGTGAGACCCCACCCCCAGAAGCATCCCTCCATCTACCTGTGAGACCCAACCCCCAGAAGCATCCCTCCACCTACCTGTGAGACCCCACCCCAAGACACATCCCTCCACCTACCTGTGGGACCCCACCCCCAGAAGCATCCCTCCACCTGCCTGTGAGACCCCACCCTTGACACATCCCTCCACCCACCTGTGAGACCCCACCCCCAGAAGCATCCCTCCACCTACCTGTGAGACCCCACCCTTGACACATCCAACCTCCTACCTGTGAGACCCCACCCCTAAGACATATCCCACCACCTACCTTTGAGACCCCACCCCTAATACACATCCCACCTCCTTCCTGTGAGACCCCACCCCTAAGAAACATCCAACTCATACCTGTGAGACCCCACCTCTAAGACACATCCTTCCACCTACCTGTGAGACCCCACCCCCAAGACACATCCCACCACCTACCTGTGAGACCCCACCCCCAGAAGCATCCCTCCAACTACCCTTGAGACCCTCCCCCACAAGCATCCCTCCACCTAACTGTGAGACCCCACCCCACAAGCATCCCTCCACCTACCTGTGAGACCCCACCCCCAAGACACATCCCTCCACCTACCTGTGAGACCCCACCCCCAAGACACATCCCACCACCTACCTGTGAGACCCCACCCCCAGAAGCATCCCTCCAACTACCCTTGAGACCCTCCCCCACAAGCATCCCTCCACCTAACTGTGAGACCCCACCCCACAAGCATCCCTCCACCTACCTGTGAGACCCCACCCCCAAGACACATCCCTCCACCTACCTGTGAGACCCAACCCCCAGTAGCATCCCTCCACCTACCTGTGAGACCCTCCCCCACAAGCATCCCTCCACCTAACTGTGAGACCCCACCCCAGAAGCATCCCTCCACCTATCTGTGAGACCCCACCCCCAAGACACATCCCTCCACCTACCTGTGAGACCCTCCCCCAGAAGCATCCCTCCACCTACTTTTGAGACCCTCCCCCACAAGCATCCCTCCACCTGCCTGTGAGACCCCACCCTTGACACATCCCTCCACCCACCTGTGAGACCCCACCCCCAGAAGCATCCCTCCACCTACCTGTGAGACCCCACCCTTGACACATCCAACCTCCTACCTGTGAGACCCCACCCCTAAGACATATCCCACCACCTACCTTTGAGACCCCACCCCTAATACACATCCCACCTCCTTCCTGTGAGACCCCACCCCTAAGAAACATCCAACTCATACCTGTGAGACCCCACCTCTAAGACACATCCTTCCACCTACCTGTGAGACCCCACCCCCAAGACACATCCCACCACCTACCTGTGAGACCCCACCCCCAGAAGCATCCCTCCAACTACCCTTGAGACCCTCCCCCACAAGCATCCCTCCACCTAACTGTGAGACCCCACCCCACAAGCATCCCTCCACCTACCTGTGAGACCCCACCCCCAAGACACATCCCTCCACCTACCTGTGAGACCCCACCCCCAAGACACATCCCACCACCTACCTGTGAGACCCCACCCCCAGAAGCATCCCTCCAACTACCCTTGAGACCCTCCCCCACAAGCATCCCTCCACCTAACTGTGAGACCCCACCCCACAAGCATCCCTCCACCTACCTGTGAGACCCCACCCCCAAGACACATCCCTCCACCTACCTGTGAGACCCAACCCCCAGTAGCATCCCTCCACCTACCTGTGAGACCCTCCCCCACAAGCATCCCTCCACCTAACTGTGAGACCCCACCCCAGAAGCATCCCTCCACCTACCTGTGAGACCCCACCCCCAAGACACATCCCTCCACCTACCTGTGAGACCCTCCCCCAGAAGCATCCCTCCACCTACTTTTGAGACCCTCCCCCACAAGCATCCCTCCACCTACCTGTGAGACCCCACCCCCAAGACACATCCCTCCACCTACCTGTGAGACCCTCCCCCAGAAGCATCCCTCCACCTACTTTTGAGACCCTCCCCCACAAGCATCCCTCCACCTACCTATGAGACCCCAGCCCCAAGACACATCCCTCCACCTACCTGTGAGACCCCACCCCCAAGACACATCCCTCTTCCTACCTGTGAGACCCCACCCCCAGAAGCATCTTTCCACCTACCTGTGAGACCACACCCCCAGAAGCACCCCCCACCTACCTGTGACACCCCACCCCCAGAAGCACCCCCCACCTACCTGTGACACCCCACCTTTTGAATCATCCCTCCACCTACCTGTGACCCCGTTTCCAGAAACATCCCTCCACCTTCCTGCGAGACCCAGCCGCAGAAGCACTCATCCACCTACGTGTGAGACCCAACCCCCCTAGACACATCCCTCCACCTACTAGTTAGACTCCACCCAAGAGACATCCCTCCACCTACCTGTGAGACCCGGACCCCTAAGCACATCCCTCCTCCTACCTGTGAGACCCCACCCCCAGAAGCATCTTTCCAGCTACCTGTGAGACCCCACCCCCAAGACACATTCCTTCACCTACCTGTGAGACCCGGACCCCTAAGCACATCCCTCCTCCTACCTGTGAGACCCCACCCCCAGAAGCATCTTTCCAGCTACCTGTGAGACCACACCCCAGAAGCACCCCCCACCTACCTGTGACACCCCACCTTTTGAATCATCCCTCCACCTACCTGTGACCCCGTTTCCAGAAACATCCCTCCACCTTCCTGCGAGACCCCACCCTTGACACATCCCTCCACCTACCTGTGAGACCCCAACCCCCCTAGACGCATCCCTCCACCTACCTGTGAGACCCCACCCTTGACACATCCCTCCACCTGCCTGTGAGACCCCACCCTTGACACATCCCTCCACCTACCTGTGAGACCCCACCCTTGACACATCCCTCCACCTGCCTGTGAGACCCCACCCTTGACACATCCCTCCACCTACCTGTGAGACCCCACCCTTGACACATCCCTCCACCTACCTGTGAGACCCCACCCTTGACACATCCCTCCACCTACCTGTGAGACCCCACCCTTGACACATCCCTCCACCTACCTGTGAGACCCCACCCTTGACACATCCCTCCACCTACCTGTGAGACCCCACCCTTGACACATCCCTCCACCTACCTGTGAGACCCCACCCTTGACACATCCCTCCACCTACCTGTGAGACCCCACCCTTGACACATCCCTCCACCTACCTGTGAGACCCCCAGGTGGATGTGTCTGCAAACTGTGTAAGACATTGATCCCAGTGTCTGTATTCCATGCCGATGTCTGGTGGCAGTCTGACTTGAACACACTGTGGCCAAGTGTTGCCAACATGTAGCCCATCTTCATCAAAGTCATACACACAACCTGCAGCAGCAAGAACAATATCAGGAAACTGACAAGAGCGTGTTGAGACTCTGCCCTCTGATTCTCACAGAAAGACAAGCATGAGTTACTGGGGACTTAGAAATTTGTTTTAAACATGAAAATTTCATGACGTGAATCGAACCTGCAACCTCACATATTGTGTTAAGTTTTGTAAGCCGCTGTTTTCCCACTGAGCTACTGGGGCAGGTGATGTGAATTTGTTCAGATTATCATGTCATGACTCCATCTAGTCCAGGCTGCACATATTTTTTTTTCTCACAGGCTTTGAACTAATTCCTTTATAACGCGATACACTGTATTGTTTCATTTTAAGGTATGTAGATGTTTTCTTGCATTTAAACAGTTCATGAGTAGAATATAAACTCCCCCCTTGGCCTGGATGGAGAATGTAAGCCTGGGGAGTCGGGATATTGGGTCTGGGTTTCGGCGCTCCCCTATTTGCCTCCTCCATGGGCTTACATTCTCCGTCAAAACCTAATGGGGAGTTTATATTTATATCAATAACAGAGTCAAGGTTCCAGACCAATTCTACCTCAGAGAGTTCAGGGTCCAGACCAATTCTACCTCAGAGAGTTCAGGGCCCAGACCTATTCTACCTCAGAGAGCCCAGACCTATTCTACCTCAGAGAGTTCAGGGCCCAGACCTATTCTACCTCAGAGAGTTCAGGGCCCAGACCTATTCTACTTCAGAGAGTTCAGGGTCCAGACCTATTCTACCTCAGAGAGCCCAGGGCCTAGACCTATTCTACCTCAGAGAGCCAAGACCTATTCTACCTCAGAGAGCCCAGACCAATTCTACCTCAGAGAGTTAGAGGGTCCAGACCTATTCTACCTCAGAGGGCCCAATGTCCAGACCTATTCTACCTCAGAGAGCCCAGACCAATTCTACCTCAGAGAGTTTGGGGTCCAGACCAATTCTACCTCAGAGGGCCCAATGTCCAGACCTATTCTACCTCAGAGGGCCCAGACCTATTCTACCTCAGAGACCCCAGACCAATTCTACCTCAGAGAGTTCAGGGTCCAGACCTATTCTACCTCAGAGAATTCAGGGTCCAGACCTATTCTACCTCAGAGAGTTCAAGGCCCAGTGAGTGAGTGAGTGAGTTGGGTTTAACGCCGCTTTTAACAGTATTCCAGTTATATCACAGCGTGTCAGCTTTATGTGGGAGGAAAGCCCGAAGTGATGCAGGTCTCAGACGTTTACCAGTTTAGTGAAACCCACGAGCATGGGTATGGTGCTGACAAACCTAGAAACATTATCGGCGTGAGCTGGGATTCGAACCCACAATCATAGGTTTCTGGCGTGCCCAAGGGACACAAATCTGCACAGCGAATCGCGGCCTCTAAGACGACTGGGCCACCCGTGCCCCCTCTATTATAATATAAGTTACACTTTGTAGACCTATTCAACCTCATAGAGCCCAGGGCCCAGACCTTTGCTACCGAAGAAACCCAAGGGTCCAGACCAATTCTGGGGCGGTCGGGTAGCCTAGTGGTTAAAGCGTTCGCTCGTCACGCCGAAGACCTGGGTTCGATTCACGACATGGGTACAATGTGTGAAGCCCTTTTCTGGTGTCCCCCTCCGTGATAAAACCATACTCACTCACTCACTCACTCACCCCAGACGGCCCAGGGTCGGTATGTATTCTGGCCTCCCCCGAAAGGGAATTTAATGACAGTTACCTGTTGAGTCGGTCACCCCAATATGGAGATCAGCCTGGGAAGTGTAGTACCTGAAACAGTCATCACAATTCAGGGGGTTATTCACCCAGGGGGAATACAGAAGCAGAGAATTATCTTTCTTGATAAACATTCATCTGAGCAAATGGCCTTACCGGAGAAAGTCCCCTTGAGTGGGCCGCAAGACAATTCCTGAGGTTATATTGGAGGATGTTACAAATGGGGATGGGAGGGTGTAGGGGGGTATCCTGCTCTCTGTCCTGTCCGTGTCACTCCCACACAGGGGGCAGATCCGGGGAACACTGAAGCAGAGGATGTTGATGTCACGACGACAGTGCTGGAAACATCGCAGACTCTCCAGGTCAGCATCCATCTCTCATCGTCAAGTGTTCACCCCTGCAGTGACGACATTCATATGTTAGTGTAACCATAGTGATGCGACAGACAGTAAAATGAAAGTTGTTTCTAATTTTACAGCGATATTTTTAGGGACTGTTCATTTATTGTGGAGGGGGGTAGGGGGTCTCAGATGGAATTGGAGGATGGTCATCTGAAAAAATATGATAATGTCAAGTGGTTAAGTGAGTGAGTTGGGTTTAACGCCGCTTTTAACAGTATTCCAGTTATATCGCGGCGTGTCAGCTTAATGTGGGAGGAAAGCCCCAAGTGATGCAGGTCTCAGACAATTACCACTTCGGTGAAACCCACGAGACAAACCTAGAAATATAATCGGGGCGAACCGGGATTTTAACCCACAATTATAGGTTTCTGGCGTACCCAAGGGACGCAACTCTGCACAGCGAATCGCGGTGCCTTAGATGACTGGGCCACCCGTGTCCCCTCTAGTTGGTAGACTTCCGTTCCCCAACACCCACACCCATACACATGCCCTGGCCCTCAACATCCCAGCTCCAAGAATAAATGTAATTGAGAAGCAATGCATAGGACACGGTATGGGGAGGGGGATACGGCCAGAGCCTCTTCAACTTGTGGAGAGTCATAAAAAAATCATGAAAATAATGAAACACCTAAGTGTTTTTGCATTTTGTCTTTTCAGGTAGGGTCATGAAAAACATACAACAACATGGAGTGGATCATTATTGTCAGTGGATCATTATTGTCAGTGCATAAGTGCATCAAAACCCCTGAATATTTACTAAAAATACAGAATCATTCATCAATAAATAACACATTTATATGATCGTCATTGGGTTTACTGATGCACTTTTCCTAGAAATCATTAATCTTACGTGTAGCCCATATGTCACACAGCACCTTAGAACGATTCTACACCGCTGACGTCCCGACAGATCTACTCGTGTGAACTGGATGATGAATATCACTTTTATCAGGGGGACGACTTTAGGGTGTGTGTTGTTGGGTACCGAGACATCGGAACATCCGGGAATTTAATTATTAGCCAACACTAGCTTCTGTCCGAACACAAACAGAGGACAGATGTGTTTCCGAGTTGGACCGACGCTTTCAAATGACCCGAACAAGCTTTGAACGAGACTCTTAACATGTGAGATTTGTTTACTTCCGCGATACAACAAGGGACGTAACTCTTCAATATTACCGGGACTTGTCGACAAACTTATAGATGTTCAATGGTAACGCACCCGCCAATATATAATTGATGTGATAACATTAAATCATTACTCGTTAAGGAATCTAGCAAACTGATTGGTCACTTGACGTCTTGTAGAAACCCTTTACGCATGTCATAATGGTTCATGTGACGTCATTTGTTATTTCGTCGCAGTTGCTTTATCAATTTCACTGCCACATCCAGAGTGGCTGGCCGAAAAGAGGTAGATCTAGATAAAGCCCCACATCACTTGGAACTATCACACACTTACTGAAAATACGCCGTAACTTATGAACGGAAATAATATATTCTCTACTCATAAACTTACTGACTCAAAGCACAATCATGCATCACGCCTTTCTTATCAGACAAAGCTATAATCCTAATGTACTCCTTCTGTGAGTGGGTGCGTGGGAGAGTACGTGAATAAACGGATCAATGGGTGTTGAGTGAGTGTGCAATGAACGAGTGAGTGAGTTGAGTTTAACACCGCTTAGAACAGTATTCTGTTTATACCACGGGTGACTGCTTAATGGGGGAAAGCCGGAAGTGATGCAGGTCTCAGAATTTAATTTAGAGCTGACTAACCTAGAAACATAATCGGGGCGAACCGGGATCCCAGCCCACGATCATTGGTTTCTGGCGTGCACAAGGGACGCAACTCTGCACAGCTAATTTCGGCACCCCAGACGACTTGGCCCACCGTAGCCACATATTTATTCAGACGTATTGGATGTTTTCATTATATTTCTGCTATGTTACAGTTTTTTCTGTTCAGAATCTGCAGGCTGTTTTTATTATTCTCATCCAGGGTGAAGGGGCACGGGTGGCCAAGTTGTCTAAGGCGACGCGATTCGCTGTGCAGAGTTGCGTCCCTTGGGCACGCCAGAAACCTTGTGATTGTTGGTTCGAATCCCGGTTCGCCCCGATTATGTTTCTAGGTTTGTCAGCACCATACCCGTGCTCGTGGATTTCATCGAAGTGGTAAACGTCTGAGACCTGCATCACTTCGGGCTTTCCTCCCACATTAAGCTGACACGCCGCGATATAACTGTAATACTTATAAAAGCGGCGTTAAACCCAACACATTATCTATCACTGAAATCATCAGCACATAAAAGCATCAATATTTCAAGTGCAGTTTGGTATAATCGGCTGCCATGTTAACCATTTTTGCAAAGTTTCATTTGACAATTCATTGTGGTACCTCTTTTTGAAGTACAGGTGAGGTGAAAATTGGGTTTTACGTCGCGTTCATAATTGTTGCACTTCTATAGCGACGCGCGCGCGTGCGTGTGTGCCCCTGTTTGTACTTGTCCGGACTGATGCCGATTTATAGTGCTAGCCCACTGAGATACTTTGCCGCCGTTTGGCATGTATACCCCACTCAGACACAGTATACTAACTCCGAGCCGACCAGTCCTTGTTTTAGCCCCTTAATTCCGAGCTCCAGACAGGGTAACAACAAGTACCATCTTTTAACGTATTTTGGTATGACGCGGCCGGGGATCGAACCCCCGACCTTCGCTCTCCGGGCGGACGCTCTACCACTAGACCACGGAGGAGGCCAAGAATTACAGCATACACTCAAGAGGGTAATACGGTTCCCGAAGAAACGTAAAGGTCACAGATCACAGATCAGGTGAAGTTAAACAGCGTCGGTAGGTGGATGGGTGATCGCACTCGTCAACATGAAGCACGATGGTTTCTAGGACTTCGGTCCTGCCCAACACGGAAACACATAGTCCACATGGTGTCTCCTCAAGACAATGACTTCGTTCGCAATATGCCGATATTCACCCAGCAATGAATGGGTACCCGGTAGGATGTTAACTCGGTCACTATTAACCTTCTAGCGCCCCATAAGGCGGATGTATACTCCCCAGGGAGCAGAGAACTGTTTAGTTCTATACCACTATTCGTGCCTTACTATACTTTACTTATCTAGAACTGCGAAAGTCAGTGACTATTTTCACACTATGACAAACGGTGTTCCACTGATGATGAGTGGAGATGTGCTGTTAATATTACCTGGAAACTGTCACCCCGATGCTGTTTCCAATCTTTGTCGTATAACGCCGCAATATTCCAGCTTTATGACAGCGGTCTGTTAATAATCGGGTCTGGACCAGACACTCCAGTGATTGATAACATGAGCATCGATCTACGCAATTGGGATACGATGACATGCATCAACCAAGTCAGCGTGCCTGACCACCTGATCCCGTTAGTCGCCTCTTACGACAAGCATGGGTTGCTGAAGGCCTATTCTACCCCGGATCTTCACGGGTTCTACGAACCAGCATCACAGTTGCCAGGAACATAGGAAGATATGGCAGAACTGACATTTTGGGAACCACTCTTTGGCACCACAACATTGTCATCGTAACGTAATTACCAAATTTTTCACATTAGGCCAATTGTTAGCAATAACATTTCTATGGAATTTGTTAAAACGTGCACGCTGAGCAGACTGACTGACTGACTGACTGACTGACTGAGTATGGTTTTACGCCGCTTTTAGCAATATTCCAGCAATATCACGGCGGGGGACACCACAAATGGGCTTCACACATTGTACCCATGTCGGGAATCGAAGCTGAGCAGACAGCTATGATTTTACATGACAAGAATGTTGTTGCAAACACGACACCCAAATTGACATTTTATTCCCTAGTTTTTCTTCCCTTTGTATGTGTGTTGTTTTACGCCATAGTCCATAGTTATCTTTCAATATCACTGCGACCAGTATGTAATCATTGAGTGTGTCTGTGTCCGCGTGTGTGCGTGCTTTAGTGTGTGTGTGTGTGTCCATAGTTATCTTTCAATATCACTGCGACCAGTATGTAATCATTGAGTGTGTCTGTGTCCGCGTGTGTGCGTGCTTTAGTGTGTGTGTGTGTGTGTCCATAGTTATCTTTCAATATCACTGCGACCAGTATGTTATCATTGAGTGTGTCTGTGTCCGCGTGTGTGCGTGCTTTAGTGTGTGTGTGAGTGTGAGTGTGAGCGTGCATGCTTTAGTGTGTGTGTGTATGTGTGTGTGAGTGTGCGTGCTTTAGTGTGTGTGTGTGTGTGTGTGTGTGTGTGTGTGTGTGTGTGTGTGTGTGTGTGTGTCCATAGTTATCTTTCAATATCACAGCGACCAGTATGTTATCATTGAGTGTGTCTGTGTCCGCGTGTGTGCGTGCTTTAGTGTGTGTGTGTGTGTGTGAGTGTGAGTGTGAGCGTGCGTGCTTTAGTGTGTGTGTGTGAGTGAGTGAGTGTGCGTGCTTTAGTGTGTGTGTGTGTGTGTGTGTGTGTGTGTGTGTGTGTGTGTGTGTGTGTTTGTGTGTGTCCATAGTTATCTTTCAATATCACTGCGACCAGTATGTAATCATTGAGTGTCTGTGTCCGCGTGTGTGCGTGCTTTAGTGTGTGTGTGTGTGTGTGTGTGCGCGCGTGCGTGCTTTAGTGTGTGTGTGTGTGTGAGTGTGCGTGCTTTAGTGTGTGTGTGCGTGTGTGTGTGCGTGCTTTAGTGTGTGTGTGTGCGTGCGTGCTTTAGTGTGTGTGTGTGTGAGAGAGAGAGAGAGAGAGAGTGTGAGTGTGTGTGTGTGTGTTCCTATCGGCGCTCGTATATTATCGGTGTCCATATCAGATATTTGCATATGTTTGCGTCACATTTCCCCCAGTTATATTGGAGATACTATGTCATTTTCGCGCAAAGCCCATTCCGTTGACGCCGCAGAGCGCATGCGTGAAGACACACTGGGGACTTAGCGTCCAGCTAATGCTTTTAACACCAGAACGTCCCGTTGGTATTCGATAGAAACTTCGCATCTCCAACGACCACTGGGTCGATGTTGACAAATCTACGTGGGATGCCCACGGGAAACTAAACCCATTTTCAATAGATTCCCAACTGTGCATGACACATGATATCGTTGAAGCGGCTGTAAAATATAACAGATCAGTCGCGCGTCACCTCCGCAGAATTTCTGCTCCAGAAATACAAGCGTAATATTACCATAATCACAATTCCTGCAATTTCAAGATGGGTATTAGATTAACTGTGTTTTTACCGATGTGATTCTTTTAATTTCAAAACACAGTGGGTGCATGAGCGGGGAACAAAACAAACATTGTTCGTCGGGGAATCATATATCACAAAATGCGTTTAACTGTGACAGTGTGGTATTGAATATCCAGTGAGTTTTTCTAACATGCCGTGACTTCAGAGCGATCTTCATCCTGCACTCCCGTGTCCTCTTGTGATGAGGATGCAGAGCCTTCTTCTAAATAATGAAGCGCTACGGAGCATGGGCAGCCTCAGCAGCGTGAAGAGATGCGGCTCAGGACCGGCTGTGAGATGCTGCAGTCAAGTCAAACGTTAATTCAATAGTTCAGATTCATGGAAACCTCTAATAGCAAGTGGCGTCACAGGTTTCAAAGAAAGACAAAGCCTGTGGTTTAGTTGAATATTTCCGTATCAATTCGCCATTCCTGACCATGGGACCCTGCACTTGGAAGAAAATTACGTTATGTCTAATTTACGTTTGAAATATTCAGGCATCAGAATCCAGATTTTTATATAGATTTATGAATTTCAAAATACATACCGTATGGATGAAAATACATAATACGGTATTTGATAACATAAATCAACCTTGAAATAACAGGCACAGCATAATTGTTGATCCAACAAACACAATGAGACAGGCGGGGTCCTGTGAGGGTGCGCCTACGTTGTTTGGATAGCGGCGGAGGTGGGGTGGTGGAGTGAGGGGTGGGGGTGGGTAGGGGGCGTTGGTGTGTGTGGTGGTGGGGGGGGGGGGGGGGGGACTTTTGGTGTGAGTGACGGGATATGCAGGAGCGTGGGTGGATATGATGAACTGTGAGCGTGTGGGTGTTTTGGTATGGAGTGCCGGTGGGGTGGTGGGCTGAGAGTAAATGTAGGTGTGTGTGTGTGTGTG